TTCTGGGCTACATTTGAGTTAATAGCATCCCTTGTTAAGCAGAAAATCTCTTTGTAGCAATGTTAATCTCTACATGCCATTTTAGTCTAAGCGCAGTTTTAACTCAAAACAATACTGAAAGATAATGGTTATGTAAAAACCCGCAAAAATGCGTTAATAATAAATAAGCCAAAAGGCATATAAAATGGAAAGCCAAACACTGGATATAAGAGATACAAATCACATTTTTTCCATAAATATAATGTCAGCCCAAAAGCCTCTGTTAGTAGGTATGCCAGCTTGAAAAATAAACCCAGTGCTCATGATTAAACACACAAGTGTATTTTCACATGAGTTTGTGAACAATGTGTTCCTGTGTGTTTCTGGTGCAGACACTTTATCCCAACTGTGAGAGATGCAGCCATGAAGGTTTTCGTGCCTTCCATTCTGTGGACAGCATAATAAAGAAAATCGCACAAGGCCTATTCACCACTTAAATCCTATACTGACATCTTATATGGGATTTGAGTAACACCTATGCTTTTTGCTGGTGGTCTGCACAGGGCCTTCTACCCATAATACTAGACTTACAAGCATGGGAGCAGATCTGGGAAGTGGCAGTCAGTCAGGCCAGACTGTCAAATGCCTTGCAAAACCTGGGATGTAGGTGGACAGAACACAATATCTTAAGGCACCAATGCCTGGCTGGATGATACAATGAGTTTTAAAAGGTGGACTCCTGTTTATCTCCTATTGCACATCATGCTGTCTGTATCTCATGGCTATTCAGTGCAACACTGTCATCCCCACAGGCCCACTTTTCAAACACTCACTCAATCAGTTCGATATTTGGTAATAGGACAGTAGCTTTATTCCTATAAAACAAGCATTACCGTGCCAGATTCTAGATGGGCCACATGTCCTTCCATCAAGCAGCACTATGCTATAAACAAGGGCTTGATTCTGATCTCCCACTAGTTTTACAGCAGTGTTATTCCATTAGCTTCAACTGAGTTACTTCTGGTTTACACCAATGTAAGTGAAGTGAGAATCAGTCCCAGGGACATGGCAAATTCCAGAACCAGATTTGATTTATGTCAGAACCCAGCCTTGCTGGGGCTAATTAGGGATTATTCTGTTAGTAACTCCGGAAAACACCTGGGGTGAAATCCTGTCCCTGTTGAAGTCAACAGCAAAGCTCCCATTGACTTAGGATTTCACCGTGGGGCCCTGGACACATCTAACACCTGATTCTGTGCAGTGTATACCCTGACAATGTTCAGACTTTACAGAAAGAAGGGTTAATGGAGAGCACCAGGTAAACAGACTTCCCCATAACTCTCCCGGCATTTGCAAATGGATTGGATCTATGTAACCCAGACATAGCTATGAAGGGTACGTCTACACGGGGAAAGAAAGAGCTGCGGCAGTGAGTCTCAGAGTTCAAATCAGCTGACTCAGGCTTGCGCTGCGGACTCTAAATAGTAGTGTAGACGTTCGTCGCAGGCTAGAACCCAGGCTCTGAAACCCAGAGAGAGGAGGCTCTCGGACCCAGCTCTGCGGCCTGAGCAGGAACATCTGCTCTGCTATTTTTAGCTCAGCAGCGCAAGCCGAAGTCAGTTGACCCAGGCTCGGAGACATGCTGCCGTGTGTCTATTTTTGCTGTGTGGACATACCCAAAGTGGCTCCCTCACGAGCCTTCATTTTTGTGCTGTGATTTCTGCGGAGAGCTCAGAGCAGATCATGGTGGTTTGGCAAACGTTCTTATTGCTAGAGACTGCCAGTTTGCACGCCAGAATCTTTCATTAGAACAATAAATTAAGACGGAGATTATCAAGCGTGCCTAAGGGAGACAGGTGCCCAAGCCTTTAACACACATGGTTACCAAAGAAAATCTTAAAAATTCAAACTGATGCCAGGCTGACTGCCAAAGTCTGTAGACAGCAGAAACAATAGCTCTGAAAGAACGAGGAGCTGCTACATTTTATTTTAATGGGAGTCTGAAGTCTAATGATGGCAGCATAGGACTGTAAGCTTTGTTCACTGTTTCACTGCTGAACAAAGCGCACACAAAGGAAGCGGGACAATCGCAGCAGGAAGATCTATTTTGAGTGAAGTTTCGTTTTGGCCTCTCTGGTCAGTGCTGCTTGGGTTGTTGGCAGGGCTTAGGAGTAACATTACTTCTGCTGCCCCAGTATTAGAGAGTTTGGAAGGTATTTTTGGGGGGGGGGGAGGAAAGGGGGACAAATCAAAGTGATACAGGTGGGGTGGAATGTTCTAAGACTCTATTTAGCTATTGTTGATACTTATATTGTTACTCTTTACTATAGGACCTGAATGCCTCTCATGCAGAAAGCTTTAATCAAACAGGAAGATTTTGCAGCCTTTCCTAAAGATGGTTAGAGTTTGGATTCATCTACTGTCCTCTGGAAATTTTCCCTATCATAGGGAATTTTTGAATGTAGGTCTTCTAGTTTACTCAACATAATTCTGGAGCTCAGCTATCTCTTTCTGAAATGTCATAATATAGCTCTCTTTATTAAATAGGAATGTAGACAGAAGACGCGTGTAGTCATAAAAAGATTGAGCAGGCTAATTTCCTGAAGTTTATTTCCTTTTTGTAACAAATATTTACTGTCAAATGTGTATTACTTGTACATTTGGATTTTTTAATAATACTTTATTGAATTAAAATACCACATTACCATTGGCTAGAAGAGGAGACAGCTATGTATGCCAATAATTTCTATAACTAATGCCAACGACCGGTGCCAATTTTTTTTTGTTCATATTTCCGCAGACAGCTTAGAGACTTACAGTACAAGCATTCTGTTGATGAGGCACGAGAAAGACGAAGGCGAAGGTAACAAAACCTTCCAGGATTTAAAAATTAAAGCTGACCACTTCCTAGAACGAACTTTTTTTAGTTTCACTGCAGGCAAACACCAACTCACAGCTGCTGAGCAGCATGCAAATATTACCATGGTTTAATGATGTGTAAAGTTAATGGCACATATTTTCACAGAACATCAACATTGAACTCTGAAGCGCTCCCACCCTGCATTCGTGATCCGAAATACCTACAGATACATAATTAAGCTGACTAGTGTTTGCAACTTCCTTTATTCAGCCAAAGATTGTATAGGCTTCTCAGCAGAAATTATTCTAAAAATGGATTAAGGTTTCTTTTCTTCTTTTCTAAAGATTTCAGAAACACTAAGACTAGTAAAGATCCCAAAGGACCAACACACCTGGTAACAGAGAATACTGCCGCCTGGTGTGGTACACTGACAAACATACAGTGTTCTTGAAACTCTTCATTCAGAGTATTTCTGGATATGCTATTTCAGCATGAGAAATGCAGATCTGTAAGCAGTAAAATGGCACTTCCTAGTGGGGGTTAAACCTCCAGGAATGACCGTTCTTTTCTGCAACAATGCACATAGCAAATATCTACCAAAAGCTGGGTAAGCAGCATCATATCCGTTCATTTGGAGGTACCTGCATCTTCCTGACTATACCCAGGGTACTCTTGAAGGATGCACATTTTAAAAGCCTGCTTCCAGTCCAGTAGTCCGGATGGCCTGCATTTCCCTGGTTGATCCAAAAAACACAACCTACCCAGATTTGTTTCTCATTGTTTTCATGTTCTGTGTTACTTAGTTGCCAGATCCAAAGTAAACAAAACACCAAATGTGAAACTCAGAGTTCTTTCCCAGCACTTGCATGTGTTCGACAGCTTTATTCATTTGGAAACTTCAGTTATAATTGATTATTATTTTCTTTTTTTATAAGATTAAAGTGCCAGAATTTTTTAGAAGTCGAGGGGACAGGACAGGGGAGGGGAGAGGGGGAAATGATTTACCAAAGCAAACATTTTTTTTTTTAATATTGCCTAGTTATAAGAGAGTAATGCACGATTCACTCTGGCCATCTAAACTCGGGCTTTGTAGAACATAATGTAGGGTAAAATACCACCAAATGGTTCTGGTGATAAAATAATCAATTCGATAACAATGCTTAGCACTTTCCATCTGTAGCTATCCTAGCACATCGCCACACATGGGCAATTATAATCCCTACCTGGAATAGGGGAAAGTAGGGTGCAGCTAGGTTAAGTGTCTTGCTCATGGTGATACAGAGAGTTAGTGGCAGAGCTGAGAACAGAACCCAGGAATCCTGACTCCCAGTCCCATCCACTCGCTACTGGCTCACACAGCCTCCTCAGCAGATACAGAGCTCCTACTGGTTGGTCAATTGGTTCATACATGAATATTGCTTCACATTACAGTCAGAGGTGGCTCCTACCAGCAGCCCTTAAATAGTTTGCAATCAGGGTTCAAACCCAAAAGTCCCAACGTTAATCCAAATGATCTAAACCTCTCCAGTCTGCAGAGCTGGGAAGTCTTGGGGGAAGAGGCTCACGTGTGAGACTTCCGCTACATCCCAATTCCAGATGGGCCGGAAATATCATGAGAACAGCCTCTTGCTCAGGATTCTGGCACTCTGATTTCCATGGGAGTTTTGCCCAAGTGAAAACTGAATACAAACTCAATAAGGACCTCAGGACCTGGATCTAGGGTTTTAGCTTCATCGGTGTGGGTGGGGTTTTCAAAAGTGCTCAGCGTTGGCCTAACTCTGTTCTTTCATCTGAATCCATGGTTGTTTTCATAGAATCATAGAATATCAGGGTTGGAAGGGACCTCAGGAGGTCATCTAGTCCAACCCCCTGCCCAAAGCAGGACTAATCCCCAGACAGATTTTTGCCCCAGATCCCTAAACGGCCCCCTCAAGGATTGAACTCACAACCTTGGGTTTAGCAGGCCAATGCTCAAACCACTGAGCTATCCCTCCCCCCCAGGCCAGGCCAGGCCAGGCCAGGCCAGGCCAGGCCGACACTGAGCACCGTTGAAAATCCCACTTTGTATGTCAATTGGAGGTACGGAATATTTTTATTCTCAATTGACAGCTTTGCTTCCATTACCCACCCTCGCGCCCTTGGGACCCAGGAGAAGCCTTACCTCCATATTCTTACAGAAAGTGGCATTGGTCCCGAATAGGATCTGGCACTGTTCATCAGCGCTGTAGTGCATCCCTGGCAGCTTGTGAGGAAGCCGCACGGCATACTGGCTTCGAGGGTCTGTTACCAGCAAACAGGTGCTCACCTTGGACCTAAAGAGTATGAGAGTTACACACACCTTTAAGGGGAGGAACTTTGAAACTGGGCAGGTAGATCACTTGCCCAGAGAAGGTGGCTCCTTCCCTTTCACTTGAGATTATGGTGTCTTTGTCTAAAGGGTTGGTACTTTTGAGAGATTTCCACCCAGGAATATCCTTTTTTAAGCAAAGATTCTGACCTGCAGATATTTCTGGTCAGGTTGCTACTGTGGGCAGGTGCAGACTGGAGATGCATGAGGTGAGGTCATGCAGTGGTATTTTTGAAACATTACTCAATATGGAGAGTGAATAGTGGGACAGAAGTGAGACCTGGGAAATGTACGGTGTTCAAATGACTATAAGGAAATGTTGTGTGCAGTTGTGTTGTAGCCGTGTTGGCCCCAGGACACACACTCTAATATACTGTGAAGTGCCAGACAGACAGACCTCTGTGATGGTGAGTGTTAAGTGGGTTTCCTGGAGAATGCCCTGGGGGTGGTTAATGCGAATTCCACAATACTGGTTATGCAAAAACCAAACCTTTTGAAGTTTGCCCTGAGGAGAGGGCCACTGACTGGTGATTGCCTGTTACAGGAGGCCACAGATCAAAGGCCCAGACTGTATAAAGAAATAGCTGGACTGTCCCAGACTTGTTATGGTTCTTGATCTGAAACCTGACATGAACTGGTAACCCAGCACAAACCCAGCTGAGGGCTTTGAAAGACAGACAGCCCCCAGAGCCTTATGTTGGAGCTCAGGGTGACCTCTGGTAAGCTTTTAGCATGTGTGTAGGTTCGTTTAGTGTTTTTTGTACATTTTCTCCCTAATACACTTTGCTTTGTGAAGGCTGGTTGGTAACTGGTGTACACCGTTGTAGCCCGTGGAGAAAGGTTAACCACAGATGCTGAACCCTGGTCAGAGCTGCTGGGGAAGTCAGTGAGGTGCAGAGGGACTGCAAGCCTAAACCCGTTTGGAGGGAGAGAGATGCAGATCTTCGCCCAAGAGAGGTGATGGCTCGGAGCCTGAAACCTTAGGTGGGTGCCCTTGTGGAAGAGCAGGGATGTATGCCAAAGGTGCAGTTAACCCTGAAACTGTGACCAAGAGCATCTTGGAAGGTATTTTTAAAACTAATGGAAAGGAGGAAAGATACTGGGCCATGTATATGAGGGTCACTACCAAGTAGTTTAGGAACTAACAGGCTGACAGACTCAGAGTTCAGAATCAGACCCTTGTTTTTTATCTTGACAGTGTCCCTTTAACACAACATTACTGGAGCTCTCATTTTCTGAATAGACACTTTAACCTCTTTTTTTGCCCCTCTCCCTCTTCCTCTGATCACTGCTAAACTCATTGCTCAGTACGGAGGCTGCATCTCTGATAGTCAAGTAGATCCAGCACACTCTGGTGTTTGTTCCGGTGAATAATGATCTATGAGCTGGTAATCAGCTTGCCTTACAATTCTTTCTGAATTGCTAAAAAGGATAAACTAAAAACACTGGATGCTGCAGAAAAGGCATTCACAGTGAACTGTTTAGGTTAATGCTCACGTAGAGAGGAGAGAATGACACAGAATTAACTCCCCGGGAAAGGAGTTCTCTCTGGCTTCCGTAAAATGAATTGTTCTAGCAGGGCAGGCTGGCAGAACCTGTCAAATAGGGTGGGTTGGTTTTTTTAAGGGCATTTCCTCCTGTACAACCTAACAGAGTCCTGTCATTACAGGACTCATTCCTAAAGTGGAAGTGAACTGGGATTCTTTTCAAGAAGCTATCAGTGTGCTGAAATTTGGGGAAGATGAGTTTGCTGCATCTCTGCCAGTATTCTCTGCACGCTCCAGGTACAAGGTTACTACAAAGGAGACAGATTCAACCTTCCATACAGTGATTGTACACCGCCCTCCCCTGACTTTGTGTTTGAATTTCAAATACGATCCCGGTTCTTTGAGATACAGGGTTTTCGTTGTTCATCACGTTCTTACTTTAGGAAGTTTTCAAGGTCGTCACGGCTGCAGGAAGACCAAGAAAGGTCACTAGGGTTCCTGCCCTTCACCCATTCTCCAGACATTATGTGAGATCTTCCTGCGCAGGACAAATGATCATCGTCATGGCTCATCCCCATGCTGTTTGGTTAAAAACAAAAAACAAAAACAAAACCACATAGATAAAGCCATACTGTGGGTTTGTCATTTCCCATTGCACCTGGTAATGACACTCTAATTATCTTATGGGGAACACAGTGGAAAGTAGAACTGATCAAATCATGCACGATTAATAATTTATCCAACGAATTTACCTTCTAGGTTATAAGCAGATCACAATTCCTTGAATTTACCTATTTTAGTTGCAAATTTTTTTAAAAAATTGTTTTGCTCCATGGATTGATCGCAAACACTTCACTATGGGGTCTGCTGCAAATATTCTAAATTCCAACAGTGATTTTTAGTGGAGAGAGAGCGCTGAGAAGTTATATGGAACTGCTTCTGTTCCCTGATTAGATGAACCCATAAGTACATCTGGCTGAATTCTTACACACACGGATGCAAAAAGTGATTTCTGGGAATGGTCATGCAACCTGAAATGTGCTTCCCCGTAAAACTCAGTCATTCAAGGGTTCACAGAAAACAAACGCTCAGAAAGGATGTCGCCTGGCTGAAGCCCAGAATATCAAAGGGAGTATTTGTGGAAAACTTTGTATTACTTGCCCAGAACTAGTGAATGAGGTTAACTAAAACCATGTTGAGTAAGGTCAACAAATACCGAAGTACAATTATTACTAAACATGGAACCAAATTCTGCTCTTGTGCCAGTGCAAATTTGGAGTAACTCCACTGACATAAAAGGGGTTACTCCAAATTTACAGTATTATTAAATCTCTATTTCAGCAGCCCCTGGACATCCCCCCCCCCCCCCCGAATCAGGGCCCCATTTTGCTAAGTGCTGTACAAACGCATACAAAGACACAATCCCTGCCCCAACCCAATGTAAATGTGAACAGCATTTGGCCCATGGTAGTGCATCTCAACAAATAATGCACATTTACACATATTTACACCCACAACTGAGAAATTAAAATATCGCTCACCTGAGGATCTCAAAAGAGCTTCACAAAAACTTTCCCCCCACCATGCACCTGTGAGGCCATGTATTATTAACAGTGTTTTACAAGAGGAAAAACTCGAGCAAAAGAGAGGATAAGTGACTAGTTCAAGTTCATACAACAAGACAGTGGCACAACCATGCGCAGACACCAGAAATCCTGATTTCCAATCCCATCCTCAAACTACTAGACCATGTTACCACCCAGTGTGGGAGAGAGAACAAGTTCCAGCCTGTTTTGATAAGATTTGATAAGTAACATTTTAAAATCTTAATGTCCTTCCTTTGGTTTCTAAACCCATCTTAAAATGGGATGAGAATTGGTTTACGGATTTTTGTAAACGGTGCCTCTTGATTTTTGCAAACAAGTGTCACTCAGCTGGCAAAGTGGCAGTCATCAGCATTAGGTTCAGAATTGGCAACTGCAAGTTGATAACTGAAATCTCAGATGATTATCAGTTTATTCCTTAGGAGAAGTGCATCTTATTGTATAAGCTCGCTGGACACAGCAAGATGGCCATTGTTTCCGATCATGATGTTGGACTCCCAATATGCAACATTACTCTACAAATCAGAGTTGCCTATTTGTTTTTATATTCAGTTCTCATTCCCCTGCCTTTGCTTCTCTGCAGTTTTGGGATTCAAATATTCAAAACCTAAATGCAGCATAAATTTCCAGTTCTGATTAACCGAAACCAGCTTCAGCAGTTTGATAATTATGGCTTAGATTAAACCACCATTTAGGCTATTTTTAGCTTAAAGTGAAAATTACATGGCTGAGTCTATTATTTTAGGTTTATCTCCAGGGATGTTATTATTTCTAACAATGTTACACTTAGCATAATTTTTAGAATCAGAAGCTCATGGTTATGCATGTTTTTTAACCTTTGTAGGTTTCGAACACAGGAAAAATGTTAATGTCAAGCACATTGTTTGACACGCACCAATCATTTAACAATCTAGTAGCAACTCTAACTTCAGAAACAGAGGGTGAAAGCCGTGCCTCACTGAACTCAAGGGAGGTTTTGCGACTGACTTCAATGGAAGTCAGGATTTCACCCAAGATGGTTTATCCATGTTACCTCTACAAACAAATAAATACAAATACATCTTAACAAACTATGAGGGCAGAGCCAGCAGTATTCTTCTATTGCAACTTGTCCCCTACAAAACCTGCAGTCTTAGGAAATGAGAAAGGAAGATTTTAATGTGATAAAAGAAACAAGTAAATAACATAGGAAAGGTGACTTTAGCCCCACAGAGACATGGCGATCTTCCGCAATATTGACTTAGAAAAGTAAGCTGAATGTTTGCCTTCATTCTTTGGCCCATCTGGGTCATAAGTCAATACATTCCCAGTATATTTTCACAGAGCAAGAATCTTCTTCTTTTGTATGGCTGGTGTAGAGCAGCAACTACAATTTCACCTGATGTTGATAGAGCCAGATGGTTCCATCAGGAATAGCAGAATTTATTGCAGTGATGCCTCCTTCATATTTATAAATTGGGCAGTAGGTGGGGATATGTTTGATGGTCTGTCGTAGGGAGCCGCACTCGCACGCCAGGGACTCCTTGATTTTCCATTTTTACATTAGATGTCTGCATCTATCATGGTAGGTTCGGGTTCGGATTCGGTTCAGAGTTGACCAAGGTGACCATGGAAGGTCAAACCCAGGAACCTTCCATGTCGGATCCATCAAAAAGCATTTATTTTTTAAGTCTTGTTTAGCCCAATCTGCTTTCCAAGCCGCCTCCTAATCATAGCCTGACTGCATGAGGCTAAGCGAAAGTTCCCAGAAAGGTTGAGAACCACTGGTCTAAAACACACTGATCCATGTACTGCTTATCTGAGATTAGAATCTGGCCCTTTCCGAGTTCCATTCACCTGGGTAAAGTCTGCTAAATCACTGAATTGCCACAAAGGCAAAAGGTCCATCATTGCTAGCTTATTGGAAAGGAATAGGAATAAATAGGACAATTTAGAGTGGCGTATACCATGCAACATGGCTGCAAAGAGAGAGGAATGCCCGTTTTGGCAGCGTATTAGAGAGATAAGGGTCCCTCTCTAAACGGTTCTCATGCAACTGTACCCAGGATATTGTGACAAATCAAATCCAGGGCTCCACAGTGCCCAACCCTGTAGGGGACTGTGTGTGTGTGTGAAAGACCTTCCCTACACTTGAGCCGTTGAGTCTGGGTCAAGTGAGTCTCGGCCAAGCCTAGGTGAGTGCAGGAACTGGTTCCTACTAGTGCCTCTGTAGAGGCCAGCAACCTGGAAGGGGGTGGGGATAATCTCTGCCCACCACTGCACTGTCCAGAGTGGCTGGGTGCCCTGAGAAGGGAGACAGTATGACTATCATAGGTGGCACAACTGGAAGCTCCCAGGGAGGGATTCTGATTAAGAATCCCTCCTGGGGCCTCCCTCTGCACTGGCCTCGTCCTCAAACTCTCCAGCGTGGACCATCATTTACAAGTGAAAATCTGGCCCTGAAATAGCAAAACCTATGGTAGCACAAGCAATCCTTTAAACTGATATCCTGGGAGCCAATAGGCTGTTTCAATCAAGGCAGACACGTTTGTTTACTAAAGCCTGTTTTCCCGACAACACTTTGCCTAAGCCAGGATGTGGTCAGCTTTTCGCTACAATGTATGAAGAACCAGGTTTCACCTGAAGCCATTTAGCCAAGATATATTTTAGCTCTCTCATTAATTTGTATTTATTTATTCTTAGCATATGTTGAAAATGGGATCGTTTCTTTGGCAGAAAACACGAGTAGCAGTCACTAATTAGGACATTCCCGTCTTTGATTTTATTATTAATGTATTTTAAAAAAACTGATTGCTTTTGGGAAGTTTCTCTGAGGGAATTGTAGAGGCTAAAATTCATTCATTTCAGCTTCGGCTCTGCAGTGTATATGTAAAATCCCCATACAGAACAATTCAAAACCAAGATCGCGTTAAAGTTGGGGGTTTTTTGCATATATTTTCTGGAATTTATTTATTTGAAATTGACATATTTATGGAGAAATCCTGGATTTTAAACAGCAGCTGTTTAGCAAGTTCTAGGCACAAAGGGCTAGATCCTCAGCTGGTGTAAATCGATGGAGCTCCATTGAAGTCAATAGCGCTAGGGTGATTTACACCCGCTCAGGATCTGGCCTCATGGCTCCAAAGTAACTGCTTCTAGCCTTTCAGCGCTCGTTTGCTAGGAGAATACAAGTCCACGACACCTTTGGAGACTGTTTTAATTGGCACTGGGAAACTTTTCCCAGCAGTTTCTCTACCTTACAATGACTCACTTGAGGAACAGATTAAACGACCTAAAGTACTAAGGCATACCCCACATGCTCACACACTAGTTCAAGCGTTCCCAAGTACATCAAAGGGAAGAGCTATTCCTAAACACGTAGTAAATAGAATGCCATGCTGGTTCTTTTCACTAATGACTAGCTCTACTTTCTTCTTAACAGAAATAAATTGGGGGGGGGGGAGAAGAGGGGGAAGCTCTGTATGTTCATAACTAATCAGCAGTGCAAGTGCTGACTCGGTATTTTGCATTTCCTTTGTAAGCAACTAATCTTACCTGCTATTCAGACTTCACAGGGAATTAGAAGGAGTTAATTGGGCCACGGAAATATTTTGCAGAGGGGGTTCTACTTTTAAATGAACAGAAACCCCTTTAAAACAGAGATAATAAATGTGGTTTCAGTATGAAAAGTGACTATTAAAATGGCACCATATTACTCAACTGCTCTGCCCCTTGTGTGTACTCAGAGTCACATCTAGCTAATTTATCACCAAAAGTAAACATTTGCTACATATTATTCTTGTTAGCATTGCAGAACCAGCACAGCTTTGTGAGAGTGAGCTAGATTCAATTCTGGCTCATGCATCAGCAAACAATTGCTTAACCAAATTCTAAATACAGAGCGAAATTCGGTCTTCAGTTACACATGTCCTAGCTCTTGGGTTTGCTCAGAGTGCAGCACAATGGGGGACTGATTCAGGGCCGGCTCCACGGTTT